GCCATCTTGAAAGGTAGCCGTGTCTTTGCATAGAAGGGGGGGACTATTTCACCTGCCTCCAATCATCTGCCATACATTATGAACGCAGCCTAAAGATGTTGCAGGGAACTGTTGAAGGGACTTCTGATCATTTCAACATGATGAAAGATGACTTTGTTCAATTTTTGGATACTGGGCATGACCCCTGGGTGTGTTGTGTATGCCACTTTGTATGCGAAACTGGTATGGCTAACCTATATGACAGTCTTCACTGAAATCTTCACTTTAATTTTTGTTTAAGATACATCAATCATATTTTAATTTCCTACTAAAGAAAGAAAATGTCCCTAATAAGATATCTAAATCATCTTACGGCCGTTCTCATCACACGTGCCCTCTAGCGATTGTTTCTTTCGTGACGAAGGAGGTTTTGGTGGACGTCAATCACAAGGCGTTTCCATAACATCGTCGGAAAACAATGCTATAAGGGCACTTGCCATAGAATGTCATGGAAACGTCTTGATTGACGTCCACCAAAAGCTTCGTCATTGGGATGATCTATATTGGGGCACAGCTAACTTGCAGATGAAATCCTGAAACGAACCTCTAGGTTGATGAAAGTCGGGGCAAAGCTAACTCATAATTTGAACCCTGAAACAACCTCTGGGCTGAAGTCAGGGTATGGCTAACTCACAGAGCAAGTCAAGGCGAGGAAACGAGCATACATTTCTTCATGCCATTTGTGATACAGAGTAGGACTGGTAACTGGCAGGAAAATACATTTTGTTGGATCCTTTTAGATGAACTGCTGATCGCTCGGAAGAGTAACACAGATGAACTTTAAAGGTAAAACTATAGTTTTTACAGACTCGTATCCAGTCGCTTGTCTTGGCTTGTTGATAGACTCTTCCACAGTCTCTCGCTCGTCCGTTCCGTCTCCACGCTTAGAGACTGTAACGGTACGATGACCGAAAGGACTTATGGGTCCCGAAAACTTGGACCCAGCGTGCTTTGGGAACCAAAATACTCGTCCACAGTTTCTCTCGTTTCAATATTTTCAAGATGGCGGCGAAAACGAGAGAGACTGTGGACGAGTATTTTGGTTCCCAAAGCACGCTGGGTCCAAGTTTTTGGGACCCATAAGTCCTTTCGGTTATCGTACCGTTACAGTCTCTAAACGGACGAGCGAGAGACTGTGAAAGAGTCTAGGCTTGTTGATCTCGCGCTGTGGTTGAGAAGTATTTAGTGAGTTCCAGGTGCATCAGGGGAATGACGGAAGAGAAAAGCGAAGCGACGTCACTTTTTTTCTCTCCTTCCCAAAAGCCACCGCAAGCAAAATAAAGCGTGAAAAAAATGTAGGACTGGGTACGAGTCTAAGATGTCATAATCATGTTATGTAAACCTGAGCCAATGAAATAAGCCTATTTTATTCTCAATCAATGTAATAAGCATTTATCTCGTAATCTAAGCTAGCTTCCGGCGAAACTTAACTTTTTTCTTGGTTGTGGGTTTCCTGTGTCGGGAGTGAACGCACCCATGTGTTAACATAGTTTAGCATARTTATCAGTTTGGTCTTTTTACACGAGGCGAAGCAGTCGAGCAAATATGGCCGAGTCAGAGTACAAGATTTACGTCGGAAACTTGAGCTACGACGTCGAAGACAAAGATTTAGAGGATCACTTCTCCAAGTACAATGTAGTTGAAGGTAAAGAGAGAAAAATTTTGCAATTTTTATGGACTTTTTGAGGTTTTTTTTGGTGAAAGAAGAAAACCGCCTCGTGTGGCGTCTTTGTCAAAACTATACGTTTTCGAGTGCTTTGTTTTCAATTTCCTCCTACATTTAGTACTTTGGCGATAGAAAAAGCTATATTTTGCCATCAGGTAGTAAATTAGTTTGACTTTGAAGGTTTTCATAGTATTTGTGAAAGATTTTTTCAACATTTTGCGTCGTCAAAAAACCTTCCAATTCAAAATGGCGACCAACCACAAGCGACTTTCTCGAGGCCAAAATGCCAGAAATATCCGTCAATTGAATAAGGCTAGATTAAAAGGTTCTTTAGTTTTTTTAAACAAATAATTCTTTGTAAATGTATTTCTGTTTGAAAGCTTTTGAGTCGTTTGGGTAGAGCGTCGTCAGTGACGCAGATAAGTCTGCTCAAAACCAACGAAACGGAACGAATACTCRACCGAAAAATCTAAAAAAATCTTTTAAAAAATTAATAGAAATAAAATGCTTGAAAATAAGTATGAGATGTTAAAGCTCCTTAAAAAAGGCATTTTTTGGATATTCATTGCGAAATCTTGTTTTGTTGAGCGTCAGTGAAGCCATGCATATTGATGAAGCGAGATGTAGTTGATTGGCGTTTGTTAAAATAATATGCGCCGGCAAATGAAGTTGCATTCAGAATTTTTCATAACTTACCCTAAAGATATCTCAACATATCCTTGTTCAAACAATGAAATAAAGAATGAGAGTCACCGAATTCGTTTTTTTTTTTCTTTGCTAAACGCTGAGCACCACCAAGTTTGCGCTAAGGCCACCTTAATTGTTATTAATGTGCCAACCAGACTATTGACTTCTTTAACAAAAGAAATCTTTTGTTTTATTGGTTGGCAAACTTGAATGACAAAAGGTTATTTGTTGTCGTCGTTTGTAAACAGTGAATATTGTTATTGCTGGGTTGCAAGCATTCCCAAGAGAGTTAAAAGACAAAAACATGGTTGCCATTGTGGTACTCTTAACAATGGATGCTAATAACAAATCTTTCGTAAGTGGTACCAACATGGTTGCGATGACGTAACGTGCAAACGAAGAATAGAGTAATACATCGAAGAAATGCAGAAAAAAATCATGGCCATCATTTCTGAACTAAAAGCATTTGTGTAAGAGTTAGTGTTAAGGTTTTATGGAACTTTCACCCTTTATTTAAATCACAATTTTTCGACTTATAAAAGTAAAAATCATTAATATGATTTTTACTTGGTATATGAAAAGAATAGATAAACTGTAAGTTCCATGTTTTTACTCCTATGTGCAGTGCAAAACAAGGGAAATACCTTATGTATTAGGTCAAAAATTCATTACTTCTTTGAGACATTTAAATGTCTATATTCTTATGTGACTATTCTGTTGTTGTTGCTACAGCCAGAGTTATTTACGACAGAGACAGTAGAACCTCCAGGGGTTTTGGGTTTGTAACGGTGGATTCTGCGGAAGACATGAGATCGGCATGTGAGGACTTAAACGACACAGTAAGTGATTTGCACATGTTTTTCGTATGCTTGAGTTAAATTAAACAAGTGTAAATCATTCAGTCGAGTAATATTTTAAACTTTTGATTGAAATATTTGGKTTTTTTTCCTTTACTTATTGGAATAGTAGTTATTTAGATTGTTTGTTTGTTTATTTATTAGGACTTTGAGGGACGAAAGATCAAAGTATCAGAAGCCACGAGTAAAGGAAGTGGAGGAGGTGGTGGTGGAGGACGGTATGGAGGTAGAGGACGTGGTGGCGGAGGATATGGAGGAAGAAGCTACGGCGGTGGTGGCGGAGGATACAGTGGTGGTGGTGGATACAGTGGTGGCGGTGGATACAGTGGTGGCGGTGGATACAGTGGTGGACGTAGCGGTGGATACAGAGGTGGACGTGGTGGTGGTGGTGGGTACAGTGGCGGAGGAGGAAGATATGGTGGTGACAGCTACTCCAGCGGCGGGGGTTACCAGCAAGGACACGGTATGAATATCAATAGACTGCTTATAGGTCTTCCTTTGTATTCCCCCCTGTATGTCTTATGAGTTTCTCTCTATATTTGGTGAGTGCAAAAAGTGTTGAATAAAAATACAGGTAAACTGTATTCCAACAATCTGGTAGAGTACAAACACTAAATGTGTGCAATAGTTATCACTATTTAGTGCATTCTGATTCTACTATTTTAAAATGAATATGTGTAAAACCTGGAGGAGCTGAGTAAGATCAAGATTTTTCCAAAGGAAGCTCCTAAAGAAGCCTATTTTCAACACTGTTGGATTCTTTGAGCATTTCATAAGCTTTGAAGGACAATATTGATAGTTGGTTCTCCATTTAAAGTTGTGAAATCTAGCATAACAAGTTCTTCACTTTTTGCACTCATGGCTTGTGCTACAAAATCTATGACTAAAATTACCATAATGAGACAAAGAAAGGTCTAGAAGCAGTCAAAAATATTTGGATGTGTTTTTATTGTTGTCTTTATTATATTTGTGTTGCTTCATTCAATGTATTTGAATTATGGGAGAAAAAAATGGCTCATTTTGTCATTCCGTAATAACTGCTGTGTTTTGTGACTAAAGAATCATTAAGGTGACTGCCTACTTTTGGAAATTGATTTAAGCTTTTTTTAAAACTTCGATTTTCCGAATTGAAATTTAATGCTGATTCCAAATCTGGAAAGAAAAATAGGGTGTCCCGAACTCGTTTTCAAGATAATCAGCATTTAATGGAAGCCTACGCACAAGCTTTTGGAGTAAAAATTGCGCCACCGGAAGTGATTAGAAAAAAATTAAGATGAATAAGATAATAGTTATTTGCAGACTATATGATTGCATGAATGAAGGCTAGTCAATCATTCTACAATATTACATGGATATTTTCGACAAAAAGACAGAGATACATTGATTTGTCATATTTTGTAGTTTCGGTGCTCTTAAAAAATCTCATAAAGTCGAACAAAAATCCCACTCAAAAATCTATTTTTTCACTTGTTCCTGATTTAAACTTTTCCTAAAATGTTGATATAACCTAGATTTTTAGGAGTTTTTTCGAATGAGCTATCAAAAAATATAGTCCCGTGCAAAATTTGAGGGTTTTGCCCTGTTGAAGCTCAAAACTCGTATGGTTCTTCAATAAAATCTTGTATGTTTTTCAGCGGTTTTTGAGCGCGCGCTCATCGTGGGCTCAATTCGAACGTTCAAAAGTAGGCAGCCACCTTAAATGTGCGAGTTTAGCCTTGTTTAGGAGCTAATCATTTGCATAAGCCAACTGTAATGTAAACAATGTGCAAGTTTAATAATATTGATGTTTTGAAATCTCACAGACTTTTAATGGTATCTGTGAATAGCTGACTTTTAAATGAGGCTAAACCTGTGCAAACGAGTTGGTGGTCTTCAAAAACAGTTAAATACATTGAATGTGAGACTGGTCTATTGACAGCATGTTGCTGTAAAATCTGGATATTGTGTACTTGAGTTTGTTCAACACTTTTCTTTGTCATTTCTTCATCTATTTGTTTTCTTTTCTTTTTTATATGAGTTTAATTGTTTGTCATGTCCAATGTCTAATCTTGGTCCACAATCCAGCTGAATTGGGACATAAAGTTCCCTCCAGTATACCTTTGCCTTGCGGCAGTTGTATGTTTCCATGAGAATGGCAGCCCTTGTTATGCCTGGGTATACCTGGTTATACCTGAAATACTTTACCAGGCAAATATCCCTTATATTATTCCAGCCTAAATGGATGCCACATAAAGAGGGTCTTTCGCCTGGTGTTGACCTGAAGTCAGCTACTTACAGATAGCTGTATCAGATCAGTTTGCCGTACTTAGCAAATCTTAACCACTTGTACATTGTCTGTCCTCATACCAAGGATAGATGGCATTAAACATGTACAACGCAGGCTGAATATGTGATTATGATAATCATTATGATTTATTATCTTAATAAATTTAATGATAATCATGAATTGTATRTGTAAAGATCATTATTTTTCTAATAAATAAAGGTTTTCTCGGCAGCATAAAATATTTGTTTTGGTGGTATTTGACCATGTTTTTTTTTAACCTTGTCCACATGATCAAAAAGTGCTCAATATTCCTAGTACCTTGTTCTCTTATGTTACCAAATCCTGACCAATCAGATTCATTGCCTATTCACTGTGAAAGCTTCGATAGTTTATTAGGCCTCTGTTATCAGTGGTTTTCTATTTGACCAATTCCTAACCTATTTCGCTGTATATTGACCGGCCAGTTTTGCCATCTTCATTGTTGCTATTAAGTTTTTCTTGATCTGCTGGTATATTGTCCAAAACTACAAACATATTGACTGCTGGTACAAAAGTTGAATATTGAGCCTCTACGTTATCATATCCGAATTACAATTCCATGTTGCTCCATGTCCTAACGAAAAGCTCTTCTCTTTGTTTGTAAAGGCGGCCGAGACTGGTAATCTCTCACATTGGTCTAACTGCTATACCAGTCTAAGTTCCTGTTTCTGTCCGTGTGTCCATGATACAGTATCCATGAGTCGCAGTTACGTTCTCAAGAAAAGTACCATAGCACTTTGGCTGTTAATTTAGAAAAGAAAAAGGAAAAAAAAGCAATGTTTGATTTATTCTCTTTGTACACATAACAAGTTTTTATTAAATTGGTGTCTCAATACTGCCTCAGATGATCATTAAAGTAAAATTGAAGGGTTTGAATCCTCATCCATCTCCTGTTTTGAAAATGCATTCTCATTAGTTAATCTCTTTTTGTAAGATAGTTGAATCAATTTTTTTCTGTTCTAATATAGAATTCAAAACCTTGATTTATCGAAATTTAAGAAAAAAATATACACCTTTTTGTCTCATGATTGTTTGTCATAAACAAAATGGACATATTTATGGTTTCTCTCCTAGGCTTTTTTCCTTTTGCAAAGCAACTTTCCATATTTTATAATCTGGTTCTAAAAGTGTCTATTTTGCATCCAGGTTGCTGACATTGTTCTTGGGCTTTTTTCTCATTTATTATTTGCTTTTTTTCCCCAGCTTTTTTTTCCCAACCTTTTTTTTTCTGTTTCAAATATTACAGAACTTAAAATTGCTAATTATTTATCTTTATTTGTTTTTAAAAAAATGTTCTCCTAGGCCTGGCTTAACTATTTAGATTTTTTAAATATAAACTTATTTTAAACTTCCCAAGTCATACCTCTTCAGACCATTTGTCATTCTCTTGGGTATTGGTTCACCAATGGCGTAAGATCTCTATTAATCATTTCAAGGCTGCCGAAGAAGCTGGGTTGAGTTGCAGTGGGACAGTCCAAGGGGACTGGATAGAAGCCATCTTGCATATTTATGTCTCTTGAAACAGTCTTATATGCATTGCCAACTTGACTCAGTTTTTTCTCAAACACAGAATGGTTAATAGAATCTAACACTGATATAAGAATTTTGGGCATTCTGAAAAAAATCCCAATCTCTTTTTGAGCCCTAAAAATTTGTAGGTAGCTGATATTTCTGGGTGTGTCAATATTTTCATCAGGGTCGAATATACTAAAAACGGCCCCTCTACTTCCTGAAAAAAGGACGGGGGATTGTAAATATTTCTGGGTTTTATAGAGTACACAAGTGAGACTGTGGCATTAATGTTGGCATTAATGAATTTCAATCTCCGTTTGAATGTGTGTGAAAATCGTATATTGAAATGGCCACATCGGAGCTGCTATTTGATTCTTATCAAATTTGGTGTATAAACAAAAATTGGCAACCAACAATTTTATAAAAGTGAAAATTATTAGAGAACAAGCACTAAATGTGTGCAATAGTTATCACTATTTAGCAGTATTAAAATAGCACTAATTAAACAAAAGAAAATATAATTAGAATAAGATAACACTATTTAGTGATATTTATGTTGCACACTTTTAGTGTTTGTACTCTACTTGAGTACTTTATTAGAATCTTGTGGAGGGTACCAGTTGGCCGGGGAGGGGGGATGCTGACTTCCACATGCATTAAATGGTAGGTAGCTACAGAGGCTTTGCATTATCAAGTGAGGGCTGCCATGACGGGAGGCACAACAGTTTTTCCCTAGAAGAACCAAATTGTTTCTCATCAGATTAGGCCAGATTTCAGTTGTGCTTGCCTCCTATCATGGCTGCATATAATGGTGCAGAGACTCTAATGGTGCCAGGAAAATAGAGAATTTCTATGTAGTCGATGGCTTTGTAAAATCTAGGAAGGGGATAGCATTGATTTGGAAAGTGTGATGGAGGGTGTGTTGTAACCATCTGCTTATCTATAGCAGGGATTTTTGATACAAGATCAATGTCGTTTTTGGCTGCCACTGAAACTGTTAATTTACTTGCAAYGAGGAATCCAACAAACCTTCAAACTTAATTTTCAAAACCTCTTATTCAAAATTTTGTTTAAACGGGACTTGGAATATTGAATAACAACCAACAATCTAATAATGCAACATTTTAATGTGATAAAGTAAAACTAATACTTTGTGCTTGTCTATGTCATAGAATTATAAATGTATGTCAGAATAGGGTTGACCCCACAGCAAATACACTACCTATTAGTTATCACGCATTCAAAGCTAAACAGAACTGAAATAAACGTCAAGATCTTGAGACTGCATTTTATCCATTCTGAAAACTGCTACATAAACTGAATCGCAATATAAGGAGACCAATTTGAATGACTATTGTTCTTCATTGACTAGCCTTGTGTTCATGTGGAATAATAAAAACGTTTTCACATGTATGCTAGTCACTGTTTTGCAAGTCAAATTTGTTGCCATATTCTGTGTGGAGAGGCTTTGCATGGTAATGTGACACAATTTTTTAGCATTGAATAAAATGTGTTAAAAAATCCATATAGGAAATTGAAAATTGTTAAACATTTTTGAGTTAAAATGTTCAATTTGTAAGATTTAATTACATAAGTTAATAAGCAAATAATGAGTTATTTGCAGATGTATTCAGTTTTTTCCCTTATGAGATCAGAGCAAAAAATAAATGAAAATTTGCAAGGTTTATTAATTTTTTAATCTTAATTATACAGCTCCTCTTTAATCCCATGTAGGTAACTGCCCAATTATTTTCTTAATTGGACAGGTCTTGTTGATATGGGATTAATTAGGCAGCTATATAATTAATAGGTAATGGGATTTCATGCTCCAAAATCAAGAAATAATTAGACTCGGAAAAATTCCTCTGACTGCCAAATTGGACTCGCCCTATGACCTCATCCAATTTTGTCAGTCCTTGGAATTTTCCTCATCCAATTATTTCTTAATTGGACAGCATGGAGTCCTATTACATATACTAATTGTGTATTATTCCTAACTAAAAATCTAGAAAGAAGACAATAACATCCTCTCAGGATTGCTGCCACATTTAAATTTTGAATAATTTATATAGAATTCAAATTCAAGTTTTGGATACTAATTATTAGATGAAAAAGAAAATAACAATTAGAGGCTTTGCACCATCACATGATGGCAAACATGACAGGAGGCACAACAATAGAGTCTTTTTTTCTCCGGGAAACTGAATTCTTTCTTATGTAAATCAGATTTAGACCAGATTCAATTGTTCCTGCCTCCTGTCATGGCTGGCATCACATGATGGAGCAAATTAAGCCTCTATAAAGCAACTATAAAGCCATTTAGTTTGTGATCTGATCCTAAAACCAGAAAGAATGGATATGCAAATGAAGATCATTAATTATTTGCATATGCAATCATTTAATGAGATCAGTGATAACAAGTTATGTCTAACAAACAATTTATGATTGTCACGTGACATTGCAAAGCCTTCATTGATACAAATTGCTCTAGCAACAAATCTTTAAGACTTGTGAGATTGCATTCGCAAGCATATCAGTAAGTCCCCTTAGAAGCCTGTCGCTTTAAAGCATGTTCGCAGTTTGTTTTTCCGGACCCAATTTTATGTGTGTTCGAGTATACCTACAATAGTTATTCAGCAGGGGCGGATCCAGGAATTTTTTCAGGGAGGGGTGCACCCCCAGATTTTTTTGAGGGAGGGGTGCACCATTCATGTTCGGGACTTGAGCATCAAAAATGGATAATAATAAAGGCATAATTTACCGTAAATCGCCCATCTCGGGGGGGGGGGGGGGGGGGGGGGGGGGAGTGCGCACCCCGCACTCCTCCCCTGGAACCGCCTCTGTTCAGTACCATTAGCGTTCGTCATTAAATTTTTAAGTGAATATAAAAAAGTTCTCTAAAGTATACGATTGACAGCCTCGTCTGATGAAAACAATCGTGAACTTCCAAGATATGCTTTGCTTGTCATGCACAAAGGTTTCAATGTGAGGCTTTGTGCATGCTCGGTGATTCATGAGCACAAAGGTTTCAATGTGAGGCTTTGT